GAACGATTTCTAGTTTTTGTTACCTGATTTCTCTTTTGTAACACCAAGTTCATGAAAAGCTGAAGTCATCTCTTACCAGTGTATTTTTAGAAATCATTCTGAAGTAGGGGAACAAACAAGCGAACCCACGACTGTTGAGGTGACCCCGACTCATAGTGGCCCTCCTTCTCTGATGGAGTGTAAGCAGAACTGCCCCTGTGGTTTCTAAGGCTGTAACTCTCGACAGGTTTGGACGCCCTCATGTCTCTCCAGCAGCGCAGTGGTGGGTTTGAACTGCTGTCCTTGAACATGTAATCCACTAGGCCACCAGGGACCATGTTAACCATACTCCCTGGTTTGGTAGTCTTCCCCTGCCCTCCACTGGGAATCAAGATGTGAAATCAGCTGAAGAAGGAATTAGATTTGATTTTTTGTGTGCCTTTCTTTTGATTTTAGCTATGTCACATGTGCCTGGTGCCCTTGGGCACTTGTTTCATCTTTGGCAGAGCACCTGACCCTGTCTCTGGACCAGTTAAAGGGTAGGGGAGGCACGGAGGAAGGCTGTGGAGCCTGAGGTGGGACCCGTCACTTGATTCCAGCCCGTCTTTTCTCATAGGCCTGGGCTGACTGAGCTGCTCGGTTACCAGCTGTCGGAAGGAGTCAGGCATCGATGGCCTTGTTGGGGCAGGGCAGATAGGCTTGGGCATTTGCTTGGATCGAGTGTCCAAGTGTGCTGCCCCCTCCCTGGTAGCTCGGAGCTCAGAGTTTTAGCAGCGAGGAGGGCACGTCAAAAAGCGCTACTGCGAGAGCCCCAGTTGGCATGGGTTTCTTCTACGCCAAGCATGTCTGGACATGTGCCTGCGGTCAGCTGAGGTCAGCAGAGATGCTCCCTCAGGAAGGCACGGTCCCCTTAGGGGCCTTCAGGGAACGGTCCAGCCAGAGCAGTGGCTTCTCAGGAGACTCACTGGCCAGGTGACTTCAGGGCAGAGAGGTCCATTCAGAAGGGACAATGACAATCTTAGGATTCCAAAGGGGTTGTCTTGGTGGGTTTTCTCAAAGGACACAGGACAAGCACCAGGGCTTATTAGGAAGGAGTGCCAACGGATGGTCTTCCCTTCACACGGTGCCCCACCCATTCTCCACGGGGAGCAGGGCCGTCCTGGGAGCCGCAGCCCTGATCTTGCCCGCTCAGGTGTTTTTCTCCCCCCAACCCAAAGAACGTTGAAGAGGGCAACGATTGGAGTCCCCGAAGGCCATCACAGCTGCCTTCCTGGACTCGGTGTCAACTGAGGTGCACACAGTTCCCCGGGGCAGGGGGAGCGGACGGACACTGTGCCTTCAGAGGTGCAGGGATCTGGCCGGAGGAGATGCCAGCATAGTCGCTGCTGCCCGTTACGGAGCTTCTGTTTTATGAAGGTTCTGAGGTTGGGCGGCAGCACTGTTTGCCCTGTGTTCCCACAAATGTGTTGTTATCTATAGAGAACCACAGGCAGTGCAGCAAGCCCGGGCCCATGGGTGCCCTTGCTTAGGAGGGAGCAGTAGTGGGTGTGAGATGGAAAACAGTGGTGGGAAGAGAGGTGTTTAAGCGTTGAAGGGGCGGGAGTGGGTGGGGGTGGGGTCGTCCCTGAGGGGCGCCTGGTGTTCCCCTGGAGACCTCAGGGTACTGAGAGTCCCTGCCCTGTGGAGACCTGTCAGAATGAGTGGAAACCTGAGGCCTTTCCTCTCTTTCTTCACTGTTTTTTCATTTGTCCATAGTTCTTCAGGTTGAGCGTTTGCTCTGTTTTTGTCTTAAACCTGTTTAGTGACCACCCCCACTCGCCCCAAACCAGGAGCCCTGGTGCCACAGTGGTTAAGCACCCGACAGCAAACCGAAAGGTGGGGTTCAGACTCACCCCCCAGTGCTGAGGGAGAGAGACCCAGTGGTCCCCTTCCGTAAAGATGGCAGTGTAGGAACCTCATGGGGCAGATCTGCTCTGTCGCAGGGGGTGCCACACGTAGGCATCGGCTAGACAACTCTGTAGAACACCGTGATTCCCTTAATATTGGGATCATGAGCTGGCAGGACCCTCCGAGGGCAGGTTGGAATTCGGGTCTGAGAGCGTTTGCTCAGGGTGTTCAAGTCAGCAGATTCTAGCCAAGCGCCTGCATGCTGACCTCAGCCAGGGCCAGCGTGCGTCCGGAACGCGGTGCATTGGGTTTGGCTCTGGTTTCCCAAGTGGCTTCTTCAGCAGGTCCCCACAGACATGTGACCGTGCTTCATTCTGTCTCGCAGTTACCACTGCCATGTCTACCCCTACCCCAATACGGTGGAGGGGCGCAAGGAGGTCCAGGAGGGGCTCAACACCCGCATTCAGGACCTGTACACCGTGAGTAACCGGGACGCCCCCCGCCGCGGTGTTCATTGGCTGAATTCAATAGGCAAATTAGACCCCCCCACCTCCTTTTTTTTGTGATTTGGGTGAAAGCTGTCAGAGCAAATGGGTTTTCTGTTCAGCAGTGCATATACACCGTATGTTCCATGACATTGGTTGCAAATCCCAGAATGTAGCCAGACTCTTCCCACTTCTTCCCTGTTTCCTTTCCCCTCTGCCTTCCTTTCCCGCCCCTTCCTGCCTCCTGAGCTGTTTCTTTGGGCACATGTGAATCGAAGAGTTTTTAGTGGCTGCCCTGTCCCCTCCCTCCCTGGTCTCCAGGGCAGTTATCCCGGCAGCCTCTTAGAAACCTGGGCAGTGTGATGGGACTTCTGGGAATGAGGCGTGCTGGTTGGAATTCTCCAGCATAGAAGACAAGCAGACAGACCCTTCCGATGGGCGGCATTACCGCAGTCTTTGCAACACGTCTGTTGGCATTTCTGCCTTTCTCACTTAGGGTCCTTGGTAACAGAGATTCTGACTCAGTTGCGCTAAAGGGGATTTACCGGCAGAACGGGATGGGGTGGGAGGTGTTGGCTCTCAGGGCTGACAGAGGTTGGGCAGAGCTCTCTGGAGCCAGCAGGCACAGCTGCTCTTCCTTGTTGGGGACAGCCAGGCCATTGTGCCCCCATGACGGTGGCTTTGAGCCATTCCTGTGTTCCTGCCTGGAATGCTGGCGCCAGTTGGGCTCCCTGGGAGCAGAGTCCTCAGCACTCAGGGCTGGTGTCTGCTCACCTAGGTGCTGCACAAGACAGAGGACTACCTGAGGCAGGTGCTCTGTAAGGCGGCTGAGTCGGTCTACACCCGCGCCGTGCAGGTGAAGAAGATGAAAGCCATCTACCACATGCTCAACATGTGCAGCTTCGACGTCACCAACAAGTGCCTCATTGCCGAGGTCTGGTGCCCCGAGGCCGACCTGCAGGAGCTGCGCCGAGCTCTGGAGGAAGGCTCAGTGAGTTGGACTGGGGAGGGACACATATCAGAGGACGGTTCTGTGCCCGCCCTAGGGTCGAGTGAGGGTGCCCGTGGGTGTTGCTAGTCTACTTGTCCAAGGTTGGGTTCAGACCCCCTCGAGGCACCGTGGAAGAAAGTCCTGGTGACCTACAGGATACACCCACTCCCGAGGGTCCTGGGGTAGCACAGTGCTGCACAGCGCTACTCTGACACAGCACGGGAGCAGGTCCCCGACCCTGGTGGGGTGCTCAGTCAGCTGACTCTTTGAGGATGTGGGTGGGCATTCTCAATCTACTTTTTTGAGTAAGTGATGCAGTCACATGGTTTAAAGTGAAAAAACAACAACAAAAAAGTGTATGTGTGTCTCCATGTGTGTACAAAAGTTCTTGGAAACATCCATGGAATTTTCCCACGAAGTTTTTGAAGGCCCCCCCCCAGGATGTATGTATGCACACATACAAATAAAAGCTGCATGAAGTGTCTTCCTCCTGGCACGCAGCTCTTCATTTCAGCCCCTCCCTGCCTGACAGAGGCAACCACTGTTTGTGCGGGTCTGCTCTCTGAGTCCTGAATCAGAGATGGCAGATAGGAAGAGCTCACTTCCTCCTCTTTTTCTCTGTAAAAGGTTAGTGGTCGTCCGTGCTGCTCTGTATCTTGTTCTTTGTCCTTGTTTGCAACCATTTACCCTTCTGCCGGGAGGCGTTCGTGGACCTCCACCCCTCGTCTTTCAGGGGCTTTACAGTGTCACCGCTGCAGTGGACAAGGCAGCAGAGGCACAAAGGCACCTGTAGGGTTGCTGGCCAGCTGCGGTGGCCATCGGTGTGGTCAGTGGTTGCATTTCTTTGCTCACAGTGAAGATAGGCACCTTCTCACCTGTTTCACAGCCTTTGCATTTCCTGTCCTTTCTGTGAACTGACACTTTGTATCCTTTGCTGGTTTCATTCTCTGCTCTTGGTCTTTTTCTTAAATTTCTATTGGTACTTTTACTAATTTCCTGTTGGTCGGTGGCATGGGCGCAAAATGTTTTCTCCCATTATCATTTGCCTTTTGACTTTATTCCTGGTGCTTCTGTTTGTCCAGGAGCTTTGATATGTGAGCTTGAATTTTCCCAGCCTTCCCGCCGAGCCAGCTTAGGAACTCACTCGCTGCGTTCCTGTGGGTGTGCTCCACAACCAAACCCCGTCCTGGTCCATGGAAACGAAGGTGGTGGCATTTCACCTTGGCACCCCTCGGAAACAAGCTGGCCTAGGGGTTTTGAGTTAATCAGCCTTTCCCTTATCTTGTGCTGCCTGGGATGACACCAGCACAGTGTTCAGGACTGAGAAGGAGAGTGATGTGTCCATATAATTCGTTATTTTGGACCATGAAACACCCTTTTAAAAACCAAAAAACCAAAAAACTTTTATTATTTTAAGCCTAATTTATTCCCAGCCATGAGTTTGTGCTTCTTCGGTTTCTTCTGGAGTGTCTTTCTCCTCCATGCAGCCTCCTCTTCTGCTTTATGAACAATGTGTTCCTTCTCAGTCAGGGTCATTTCAGTGTGGGCTGGGGGACTCACCGATGGACTGATCCGCCCACGCCCACGAGCTCTGTAGGTCCAGCGGCCATCGTGGGGGCTTTGTTCACTTGGTTGTGTTCAGTGACCAGAAAATCCACATCTAAACCCTGAAGTTTAACATGACTGCAATTTTAACCTTGTGCAGCAAAAATTCACTCTTTTTGGGCCACCGGCCCTGGGTCCAACCCACTGTTGGTTTGGCCTGGGCACACCTACAATACCACCATTATAACGTCGGAAGGGCACACACTGCTTCTGCAAAGTGACATCTTTCAAATATTTACGGTCTTCTGGATAGGCATACCCTTGATGGCCTGGGAAGTTTTATGAATTTTCTTAAAGTGGACTCAGAGATCCAGCCCTCTTGATTTGCATGATTTTGTGGGGTTTTCTGGGTCAAGTGAGTAGGGAACCCCCGGCCACTACAGGAAGAGCGAACCATCCATTGTAAAGGCAACAGTCGTTTCTTGCCTTGGTTTTAAACTTTGGATTGTGAGTTGGGTGAAGGTTTGCCATTCCCTTGCTCACACACGTTGTGTAGGGAGACCAGTTTCCTATGCCCTCGCTCACACGCGTTGTGCTTCAGCTCATCAGTTGCGATTCTATCAACCCACCCTCACTTACCCGACTTCCTCCCTGTGCTCCGTTTCCGATCTTCCTCCATCGCTAACCCCTCCGAACTCTGTGCGTCAGTGATCTTGTGGTTGATACCTTCAGGGTGTGCCTACCTCCCTGGTGTTACTGTTCTCCTCACACATTTTTGAAAATTGAGTCTTGGGGGTGCGTTCATTTCCAGTCCTGCAGGGTAGCTAAGGGCCATAGTCTCTGGACTGAGTCGTGCTTTTGGAGATAATACTTTTGTGGGACATGAACGATAGTCCTTGTGTAGGTGTGCAGGGTCCCTCATTCATCAGGCGAGGTGCCGCACAGGCTACTGCCCCCGAGATCTCTTGCACGTGTGCATGCACACTCAGGAGCTGGGGGACTCACTGAGTGAGGTGCTTGGTAGCCCTCTGTCCTCCTTTGCTCTGCCTCTTGGTTTCTTTCTCTCTTGCTTTCCACTGTGAAGGGTTGGGAGCACACTGTTGCCCTCTCTCCCATGTCGTCTCTCTCTCTCTCCTGCCGTTTTCCCCGCCCCTTGGTGCTTCAGTTTCCTCCGTGAAGACTGGCTTTGACATAACCCTTCAATTTGAGCAAAAAACCGCCCAGGATGGGAGAATGTCTTGAATCCTTGCTCTTCACGGCTGACTGATGAGTTGGCGGGAGTCCAGAGGGTGCCTCTGTGCCATCGGTCAGGGTGGAATTGGTTCTGGCCCGCAGTCCTGGGGTTCAGACTCACAGCGGGAACGGAATGTCCCGCTTAGCTTCCCAGCTGCAGATCCGGGTTGTCAGGCTGGTTCTCCAGCAGGCTCCTTGGGAGCAGGCTCACGGGCACGCTGCCCCTGAGTTCCCGCGTGTGCTTGCTGTGCCTGAGCTCCCTCTGCAACTGGAAGCTCGTTTTCCTAGAAACAAAATCCCCGACTCTTGGTATTTTTACTCCCGTCAGTATCTTAGACCCAGGGCTTTATTTCCTTCCCCTGTAAATATGCCAACACTGGGTTATTACAGTGCCTTTATGCCAACACTGAGTTATTACAATTTTGTTTTCCTTCTGTGTCACCTGCCCTTTTTTTTTTTTACATAGATGTCCAGATAATTTTTTTTCTTTTTCCTAAAGTCTAGTGACTTTACCAGTTTGATATGGTCATTGTAGGTTGGTGTTCTACAGATATACAGTGTGCTGTTTTAATGTATATATATTTAGCACCCTGCCTCCCCCCATTTCCTGAGAATCCCCTTCCCCACCTTTCAGGGCCTCCTTTTTAAGTTGGTTCCCCCTCACCCCTTTTTGAATAGTTCTCTATTAATTTCTTTGTCTTTACTCAATTAGACACCCCACCCACCCACCTTCTTCCTTTTGTGAGTTTTTATTGGGAAGGTTTCTTGACCCCCCCCTTGACTTTTGAGTTCCTTTTTCTTGACTCTTCATTTCTGAAATGATTCTTCCCCTAATTCCATCTTGAATTCTCTGACCTCATCTTGTATTCTTCAGCTGAGTCATGCTGGTTTTTTCTCCCCGCACGTTCTTGCGGTTTGGGGGAGAGTTTCTAGCACGCAGTAGTTCCTCATCCAGCAGCAGTGCACACACTTGTGGTTTTGTGGTTGTGGTTACATCCCCTCAGCATAGCAGTTCAGCTCCTACTTCCTCCCTGGGCTCCTCATTTCTATCCAACCCTCCATCCTGCCCCTCAGTGCCCGCTTAGCTTTGTTCTGGTCAGAGGCCGCCCTTCTGGTGTCCTGGTGGGTGGTTCTGAGGACCACCTGCTTCAAGGTGCTCCTGTTTGGCGTCAAGGTGCGCTCCAGACCTAAAGCAGGGCATCAGAGGGCTCTCAGGGATTTCCTGGGTCAGGCTCCCTCTTGTTCTAGCTGGGCCTCATCCTCGTTTCTCCCTCTTCTTTCTGCCCTGCTGACCCCACCTACCACAGACCCCTGCAGCTCGCACACGCGGGGGCTGGGCCGGGCTCTTCTGAGGGGCCTGACACACTCCCAGGAAGCTCCCTTCTCCCCTCTGGCATAGGCCACCTGGCTCGTGCTGCTTCCTCTGGTCCAGAGCTGTCGTCCCGGCAGCAGCTTGTCCCCACCCGCTGGTCCCCACCCGCTGGTTTTGTTTTAAGTTTTGTCCCTGGTTTGGGTGTTGCCATCAAGCTACTCTGCCTGCCCTTTGGGGTCTCGCTGTCCGTCATCACCCAACGGGGACTGCCCACGGGCTGGCCGAGGCCATGCCTTCCTCTTGAGCAGAGGCGGTGGGTTAGTAACCGAGCGCTTTTGAACATTGCTCCACCAGGGCTCCTTGAGGGAATCTGCGGTTTCCCTTAAAAAACTGCCACCACTGGGGAGTTCCAGAATCCCCTCCCGTCAGTGGATTCTGAGAAATACTACTTGACTGGAAAACCCACATTTCTGGGAATATCTCTAGTACTTTACAAGGTGTCGTTCCCGCCCCGAAAGGTAATTTAATGTTTAGAGGAACTGGAAACACAAAAGGAAAAAGTTAAGGATAAGATTTTGTTGACAGTATAGTGTAGCTAACATTGGCTCCTAGCAAGTGACCTGCGTCTGTGGGAAAGGTCCCTGGATGGTCATTGTCCTCCTCCTCCTCCTCTTTCCTGCCTGCTGTTTTCCACGACAGCGAGCGAGTGGCGCCACCATCCCCTCGTTCATGAACACCATCCCAACGAAGGAGACACCCCCCACCCTCATCCGCACCAACAAGTTCACTGAGGGCTTCCAGAATATCGTGGACGCCTACGGCGTGGGCAGCTACCGCGAAGTGAACCCAGGTGGGAGCAGGAGCTCTCAGGCCGGGAGCGCCGGGGGCGGGTGGGGAAGTGGGCTCACGCCGCTGCTTTGTCGTCTCATTTAAAGCGCTTAGTCTCACATCGCCGTGATTTTCGCTCGAGATCTGTAGAAGGCGGGGGTTCTCTGGAGACGGCCGAGACCACTGTACAGTGTGCTGTGTTTACCAGTGGGGTGAGGGGGCTGAGCGCGTACGGAGATCACCAGCTCTCTGCCCTCTCTTCTCCCGGCAGCTCTCTTCACCATCATCACGTTCCCCTTTTTGTTTGCTGTGATGTTTGGAGACTTTGGACATGGCTTTGTGATGTTCCTGTTTGCCCTCTTGTTGGTGTTGAACGAAAACCACCCCAGGCTGCAGCAGTCACAAGAGGTAACGATGCCAGCACCTGCCCACGCTCTGGTCGGGCAGCATGCGTCCCTTCAGTGCTGGCTGTGGCCGCAGTTGCCATTGTCCCCACTGAGGTACAGGAGACACATGATCCGCCCTCTCTGTGTGACATCTGCCGTGAACTAATGTTTCTCGAGAATTCCAGGGAGGATGGTTAAGACGATTCCAGTTTGACCAAAGAGCCACAGGAGAATCCTGCTCAAAGGCATGTGGGATGCTGAGCAGAATTTCAAATTCTCATAGAATCCAGACTTTCTAGAACCACTGATGCTGCACGAGCCCTTGAAACGTTTGCCCTGAGATACTCTTTAAACTGATACCCTCAGAGCTTAAGCCAAGCAGTGGTCCCGCTGAATCAGGGAAGAGTGTTTGTCTTGAGCACTGTGTTCCATTGTCGAAGGCCTGCCTGTATGGGGTCACGTTGGCACCAGCAGCATGCGACGTTAGACGGGGCAGAGGGTTCGTAGTCATGGGCGGGAACAATGGGAAGAAGAAGGTGAGAACGGTTGGACCCGCAGGACCATCCTCGGTGCCCTGGACTGTGCATGCAGAGACTGACGAATGGGCGCGTGTCCTGCTGCGTATCTTCTCAGCAGCCACACCCCTTGCCAGAAGTAGCTTCTGTGCCCGCGACCCCGCCTTCCTGGTGATTATACCCTGATGCCTGCCCACCCCTCGTCTCCCACAGATCCTGAGAATGTTCTTTGATGGCCGGTACATCCTTTTGCTGATGGGCTTATTCTCCGTGTACACCGGCCTCATCTACAACGACTGCTTTTCAAAGTCCGTGAACCTTTTTGGCTCGGCGTGGAACGTGTCTGCCATGTACAGCTCCAGCCACAGCTCCCAGGAGCATCAGAACATGGTACTCTGGAAGTAAGTCTCCCCCTGACCGAACGGCGCCGTCCGTCCCCTGCTCACAGCCAGCCCGCTCATGCGCCTCTCCTTGCAGCGACAGCGTGGTCAGGCACAACAAGATTCTGCAGCTGGACCCCAGTGTCCCAGGAGTGTTCCGAGGCCCTTACCCCTTTGGTATTGATCCGGTGAGTGCACGCAGACGCTCCCCACCCTTTGCTCCAGTCTGTCCTGGCGTGCTGCCATGTGAAGTGGCTGCCCCACAGGGGAGGGCCGTGCACGTGGGCACACTTGACGGGGAGGAGGGCGCTGGGGTGCTTCCTTGTGGACTGCCCCAACCCAGCAGGCTCCTCACTGAGCCTCTGCACCCAGAAACTGAGGCCAGTACCTGAATGCCGAGTGTCCGCCCACAAGGGTGATGTGGCAGCCTCTGCTGGTGCGACTCCGGTGCTGATGACAACTCAGGGGCATGAAGTGTGCCTGTGTCTTCAATTCCTTCCTTGTGTACACGAATCATTGTCACCCCTTTGCCCTGCAGAGAAAAACGTGCAATTTTAGAACCGAAAGGGAGCTGTTTCCTGAGGTGGTTGCTTGAGGTGGGCCAGTGAGTGGAAAAGAGAGTAAAGGGGCTCCTTGCCCACCCACCCAGTGGACTGAGCTGCCTTGGTGACACTGAGCACGGACTGTCCTGTGCACAGGCAGGCTGGTCTGCTTGGACTGTCCGGGGAGGGGGGTGGGGGCCTGAGGGATCCCATTCTCTGGGGGAAACTTGGAGGCATGCTCCACCTTGGCTTGGAGGGATGTGCGCATCATTGGGTGGTGAGAATGAAGCAGACGGGCCTTTACAGTGTGCCTGGAAAAATGGGGTGAAGAGATCCAGGATTTCCCACTAGTGGTGTGAAGCCCCCCTGTCATCCTGTGCCCTTCCTGTTGTGCTCACCTCATCTCGGAGCACCATGTGTATAATTTAACATCACAGCACTAAACCCCGGTACGACTGGAACCCTGAACAACCTTCATGACACAGTATTTTAGGCTGGAGTATTCAGGAATCAGCTGTAATCTTGCATTAGGGAAGATTTTTATTTTCCTAGAGAAAAGGTACCCAAAATGAAAGTCTTAAGTGGGTTTTGAAGCTTTTTTGATGTGGAGCGGGGACACACACACACACACACACACACACACACACTTTTTGCTGTCGCGTGTCTGAGCAGGCATGCACTTGGATGATCCATCCTTCTCTCGCTCTGTGTCTTTTTCCTGTTCTTTGCTATCCCTGCCGATGCCTGAACCACTGAACAAACTGACTTTGCCAGTCCCTGAACTTGACGTTGAGGGGTAGTTTTTAATGGTCTGGCCGTGGCTTACACAGTGAAGGCTTTGGGGACCCAGGCCGGGAGGCCGAGCGCCTGCGTGCTGTTTCTGTTCCCACCGACAGCCGCCTTGTGCTCCGAGACAGGAGCTCCGATGGCTGTGTCACCAGAGGGGAGCTCACGGTTTCGTTTTGTCCTTAGATTTGGAACTTGGCCACAAATCGCCTCACGTTTCTAAACTCTTTCAAGATGAAAATGTCGGTGATTTTGGGAATTATTCACATGACTTTTGGAGTGTCCTTGGGGATATTTAACCACCTGTAAGTATGCGTTCTTCCTTCAGCCATATTTCTAAACCGTGTGTGCTGTGTCTTCACCGGGGGTCTGAGGCAGCCGGCGTGGTGGTGCGGTGTCTGGTATGGCTGTGTCTTGCCGATGGAGCTGGCTGGGCCGGCACTGAGGGGTCGGCAGGATGGACCATGTTTTACCCTCACGGAGCCCACAGTCCCGCAGGGGAGATAGACACACGCACATTCTTGCTTCTTCCAGGGGTGCGTTCCCTGTTGTCTCGTTGTTCAGAGACCACATCTTGTTTCTTGACTTATGCCTGTTGCATCAGTCCTGGTTCATGACGGCCCGGTGAGGGTGGGGGGTTAGCGAGCGAGCTTCTAGCCGCTGCACTGCGGTAAGGAGTGAGCGATCATAGCGTTTTCTTTCTGGTAGATGCGGATGCGTATGGCTTCATGCCGTCTTGAGCTGTTCCCCAGCACATAGCCTGGATGGGGCGGGATAGCCCCAGTTCACCTTCGGGTGGATTTCGACTCACAGCAACCCTATCTGTGGGTCAGGGTAGAACTGCCCCAAAGTGTTTCTCAGTCTGCAACCCTTCCAGGAGCAGACCTCCACAAGTTGCTGAGTGGGTTTGAACTGTCAACCTTTCTGTTACGAGCCAACTGCTTCTCCATGACACCGCCTGGGCCCCTTCCCTAGATCTGACCAGAAAATGCCAGCCCTATTTAGCTGCCCTCACAGCCGCGGACCTCTGAGTTGTGACTGTGAGTCGTCCCCAGGCAGAGGAGCTGAACTGAAGCTGGCTTTGCGTCTTCGGTCCTGGAGAGCGGAAGGCAACCTTGCCCTCTGCTCTCCTCTTCATCCAGTTCTGACTGTGGGCTGATGGCTGGCTTTTTGACCCCTACTAGGCATTTCCGGAAGAAGTTCAATATTTATCTGGTTTCCATCCCAGAACTGCTCTTCATGCTTTGCATCTTTGGATACCTGATATTCATGATCATCTACAAGTGGCTGGTTTTCTCCGCAGAGACCTCCCGAGTTGCTCCCAGCATCCTGATTGAGTTCATTAACATGTTTCTATTCCCAGCCAGCGAAACTATTGGCCTTTATCCAGGGCAGGTGAGCAACCCTCTCCTCCAATCTCATGAGCTTTAGATAACTTCTCCTGTGGCCTTTTTGATTTGGTGAGCACATCAAAATGTTGATGGGTAGATAAGATGATCAGTGGGTGGTCTGGGGGGCCCAGTTGATCAGAAAGTGGGTGATCTGGGTGACCCAGTTGATCTGTAAGTAGGTGGTGTGGGTGACCCAGTTGACCAGTAAGCGCTCCTGGTGACCCATTTGATCCGGAGGTGGTCCAGGTGCTTGCCGCAGTCCTCCCAGCCTGGGTGTTTTCTCAGGGTCTGTTTTCAGCAGAAGATGCCAGTTCTGATGAGAGCAGGCTGGGTACCATGCTCAGATTTACTGCAGGAAAGTGTGTCGATGAAGGCTCCTGGGGGCTTCCCAGACCCCATCTTTCCACTTACTTAAAATCAGCCTCTGCTTGAGCCAGACCACCAGAAACCTGGTTGGGTGTGCATTTCTCACTGTGCCCCTCTGCACGCACAGGAGTACGTCCAGCGGCTGCTGCTGCTGGTCACGGCCCTGTCTGTCCCCATCCTCTTCCTGGGAAAGCCGCTCTTCCTGCTGTGGCTGCACAACGGACGCAGCTGCTTCGGAGTCAGCCGGGTGAGTGTGAGCGGGCCTCGGGCAAGCTGCGCCTGGCCTGTTTCTCGTCGTAAACAGGTGGGTGCGGAACCGCCCCAGAGGGCCCTGGACTCTGAACCAGGATATTACAACCGGGTGGGCGTGGAACCCCAAGTCAAGAGGGCCCTGGCCTGGGAGGCAGGATGTGTATGTGCATGCGGCACCTACTTCCTGCAGGGAGCCTGCTGTGCTCAGGGCACGTGGGTGCTGCTCCTCCCACGGACAAGCCCACGTGGAGTTTGAGCACGGTTCTTAGAGATGGGTTCGAATCAGCCCCTCATTCTTGCCACGTACTTTTATTGTCTTTATTTAAGTAACACAGCAAAAAAATGTGAAGTTCCGTGCCCCTCCTCCATCACAACCACTGTTAGCATTTTGCTGGCAAGAATTGCCACCAGATTCTGCCCTCGTGAGTCTTGCTTGTTCTTCATTTCCTCCCGAAGAACCCTTTTCTTTCCCTGGAGCTAGACTGTGCGGAGAAAGGCAGGGCGTGCCCGTCTGTTGGTCGGGTTGTGTCACCATGCAGGGCGGACCGGCGTTGACGCGGCCCTTCTTCTCTGGCTGCCCTCCAGGGAGGTTATACCCTCGTGAGGAAAGACAGCGAGGAGGAGGTGTCCCTGCTGGGGTGCCAGGACATAGAAGAGGGCAGTCCCCGCATGGAAGACGGCTGTCGAGAAATGACCAGTGAGGAGGTACTGGCTTCAGTGATTGTGGATATAGTGAGATAGCCCCACCCAGGGTTTTAGAGAGCTCGCTGTCCGGGACCCTTTGTAGTTTCCCCTGTGGGCCTCATCCTTCATATGCTCTGGTTACTAGTCTGCTAGCCAGAGGTGGGGGAAGGCTTACCTTGACATCAGGCCTTTTGAATGGCCCAGGACCTTGTCAAGGTGTCTAGGGGGTGTGGGAGTTGGGGCAGTCACAGGTCCAGTCCAGCCTCCTCTGGTTACATGTGGGAAACAGGTGTCGGGCGGAAGGAGGGTGAGGAGGATTACACGTGAATTGGGGCTGGGGAGCTGCATATGGGCATCCCTGTGAGCAGAGCCCACATCCGGGGTTCACTGTCCCTCCACACCCCTGTGCTCCGACGGGGTCTCAGAAGAGGCCGGTCTCTCATGCCCGTCCCGTACGGGGAGGACCGGGCATTGTGGATCAGGATTCTAATCTGTGTTATGTCATCTCCCTCAGTTTAATTTTGGAGAAATCTTAATGACTCAAGTAATCCACTCAATCGAGTACTGCCTTGGCTGCATCTCCAACACTGCCTCGTACCTGAGGCTCTGGGCACTCAGTTTGGCTCATGCACGTAAGTTTGCTTCCATACCTGCCATCCCCATCCACACCCCACCACACCCCCACCCGAGGCATCCGCAGCACCTATGGGGAGCTCGTGGGATACTTGAAATGTAGTGAGAGAAAAACACATGCATGCTACTGAGCTGTCTGAACTTCACTTCTAACTAAACACACTTCAGGGTGTTTCTTTTGACATGTGGTGCTGACAACGTGACAGAGGTACTAAGGCTTAGGGACATGCTGTTGTTGTACTCAATCCTTTGTGTGTCCTGAAATCTCTAGGAGAGTTCTGCTGGCACCTTCTGCCTTCTCTATCACCTCCACTACCCTCACGTGTGCTGGAAGGTCCATCTTGCGGATCTAAACACCCACCCAAGTCCTGAGGCCGGGCTGGGTAGCAGTCCCCAAGAACGCAGCTGAGAGTCCCCCCGTTGGTGCTGGTTGCCAGTGAGTCAGGACCCCTGGTGACCCCAAGGACAACAGAGCAGAACACCGGCTGGGCCTGCTCCTTCCTCACAGTCGTCTCTCTTTTCCACTGACCCTGTGCCTTACGAAGCATGACGTCCTTCTCCAGGGTCTGCTTCTTCCAGATCACATGTCCCAAGCACTTGAGAAGAAGTCTTGGCGTCCTGACTCGCAGAGAGCATCAGCTAGCATGGTGTGTTCCGGGTGGGTGAGCACGCACAGGGAGCCCTGGTGGCATAGTGATTAGCCATCAGGCTGCTAAGCACAGTCATTAGTAGGAAACCTCCAGCTGCTCCTGTAAAGAGCCGCAGTCTCGGAACCCTGCCTGTTGGGTCACTGGTGAGTGTGGTTTGCTTTGGAAGCACACACGGCAGAGACTCTGCTGCTAGCCCTTCACACCACCCTGTGGTGCACTGAGCACACAGCACACGCACCTCAGGATGGTGACGGGCAGGGAACATTGGGTCCGCAGCTCCTGCACTGGCAGCAAAACGTGGTGCGTGTGATGCCCCCAGGTCTCCCATTGAAAGCCTCTGTGGCACTGTCCAAAAGTCCATCATCCAAAAGGGGATGTGGCCAACAGAGATGAGAGTCCGTCCAAGAAATGGCAAGGGATGACGCCGGAGGTGACCCTGCACTAGAAGACAGTGGAGCTCTTTCCTCTAGAGACCTGGGCACGGCGGCACTGCTGCCCCTCTGGGGACGCTAGATGTGCAGCTCAAGGCCGAGGTGAAGAGTGTACCAGCACGACGGGGGAGGAGGTGGTGAAGGGAGGAGGTGCCCACGAGGGCAGGTGCCGGCAAAATTCTGGGCCATGCGGCAGGGGATTCACAGTGCAGCGGGTACCGTGTTGGAAACGGATCTGATCCATGCCGGAGAAGAGTACCGGGGGCTTCACAAGCGCAGAAGAATCGTATTGTCTCTGAAGCCCATGTTTCCACGAACGTTTTCAAGGCGCCTCATATAACAACGTGCCAAAGGCCAAGCAGAGCTACTTGCCCCGTACTGTGAGCTCTGCGAGAGGGCTGCAAGCGGCCCATACGCCCTCGAGGAGTTGTTTTCAGAACACTTCGATGCTTAGGAATCATGTTTTAAACGTACTTTTCTCTGGTTTTCATCTCCCTGTGTCATTGTGACCGACATTCTGAGACCTGTAACTTGTCGATACACGCTTTAAAGGTCCCCGACAGCCACCACCTTTCCTGCTGGTTCCATAACCATGGTGGCCGCCCTGCGCAGGTGTTAGGAGGCCATCACCACACTGACACTCCTGGGAGCTTAGTGAGTGGTCAGATGCTGTAGCCGGGCGGGAGCAGGGGTCTCTCCCAGGTCCATTGAGTACTGGGCTTCACCCAGGCTCCCCAGTGCGGAGTCAGGAGCACAGCCAGGCTTTCCGTCTCCACGTGCAGGCCTAACCCAACAGTGCTTTTGGTCAAGACCTCGTGGGCAGGTGGCCGCATTGCTTCACGGGGTAAACCTTGAGAATTCTTGGAGGAGAGCCAGGCTGGGGCTCACTGTGCCACGTCCCACCCCCAGAGCTGTCGGACGTGCTGTGGGCCATGCTGATGCGTGTGGGCCTCCGCGTGGACAACACCTCCGGGGTCCTGCTGCTGCTCCCCGTCATCGCGTTCTTCGCCGTGCTGACCATCTTCATCCTCCTGGTGATGGAGGGGCTGTCCGCCTTCCTTCATGCCATCCGCCTCCACTGGTGAGTGAGGGCTTCCTGGGCTGAGTGTGGCGGGAGCACCATCCCCACACACACCAAGCGCTTGGGGCTAAGCATTGGGCTGCTGACCGTGAGATTGGCAATTCAGAACCACCAGCTGCTGGGAGAGAGACCCGAGGCTGTCTGCCCTGTAAAGACGGACTGTCTCAGAGAGCAGAGGAACACCGTGAGCTGGAATTGACAGTGGGCTTGGGTCTGGACAGATTGCTTTACGCGACTCTAAGGCACTTCTTAGTGACTGCTCAGGGTTTCACAGCCGAGCGGACCGGACACACCCAGCTTGCGGGCAGAGGGAGGCTTTGTATCCATGTGCATTCTGGCAGCGTGTGAGGGCGCCTGATGTGCTAGCACTTCTACTCCACACAAAACATGCTGAAGGACGCAATTTCCGTATCTCAACTGCTTGGATGTTAGCTCACAGGTGTTGTCTCAAGAAATGTAGGGCAATGTTATTTCACAAACGTTTACTAATACATTGTTTTTTTTCCATTTTGTTTTAGGGTAGAATTTCAGAACAAATTTTACGTCGGTGCAGGCACCAAATTTGTCCCCTTCTCGTTTAATCTGCTTTCATCCAAGTTCAACAGCGATGACCTGGCCTGATGTGCATCGCTGTACCCAACATGCTCTCAGATTGATGGAGACTTATCATGTTGTAGAGTCCCACCTACGTCAGATTTCTGATGGGAAAGAGCTCCACTTCAGAGCCCCTCTTCATCGACTGCCTTACGATAGAGCCAAATAACTGTAACATATACCTCTTCCTCACACGTTAAATCTTTTGAAAAGCATTCTGATTTCAGATACATGCATTTCTTGCGGTGGTTTTTATCGTGAGCAGATAGGCATTAAGGCCAGATGCTCAGTTCTGAAACATAAGACTGGAGAAGAAGCCGATTTTGAATGGCAAGTTGAAATTGGTCCTCGGTACCCTATTCCTTTCACCCTATTAAAAAAGCCAGAGAGCTATTCTGTCGCCCAAGTTACCAGATAATATTTTCCAGCTGCTTATGTTAAGCATAGCATGTTCTTTTTAAAAAACTAATGATGGATCATCAAACGATTCACAATCATTCTGCCAGATTAATAGTAGGCATACATTTTGTATCATCTGCTACCGAGAGTGGCAAAGAGGGGATTGTTTTTAACCATTTTGTCTGTTTTTGATAACGGGAAAATAAGATTGTAAGCCAAAACAAGAGCAAAGCATACAGCAAGTAGTGATGCCACTTGTATATTTTTCTAAAGCCTCTTGCTATTATCCTTCCAGAAAAGCAATTGTGATCATTGTCTTTTAAAAGATGAACTAACTGCACTGAGCCCATCTACCCCGTGAGACTGGAGAAGATGCAGTCGGGACAGGGCTTGAACATAGCGTCCAACTTGGCTGGTGTCGCTGACCCAGAAGAGTGAAGGAACGGTAGAAAGTAGCATTTTGTATATTTTTATACATAAAAGTCTATATATATATATATATATATATGAAGGGGTTTTACCGAGAAGAAATGGCATCTATCTTTGAGAACAGTATAAAGAAGGGTTTTTGTTTTTTAACTTTCACATGAATTCTAAATAAAGGTCTGGTGATTGTATTGAGAGTGAATTCAAACTTACGGACATGATTTGGATCAGCCTGAGATGAATTGCTCTGATTAAGCCATACATTTATACTTAGCTTCACTCGGTCTTTCCACCCGACTCTGGTTTGAGTGAGTTTGTTGCCTGTTGAACACTAACCCCTCCAGTGTTCTTGTAAGCTGTCATCTTTCCCTGCTTTACTTTAATGGTACAGTCTTTTTCATGATTAAGTCTAAGGTTTCTTCCTGGGCTCAAGATTCCGAGTCAGCTACAGTCTCTGCAGTCCCCAGACGTCTGTGCTGCTCGGTGGTTGAGTTTGTCGCTGTCACTCGTCGCACTGCCCTGTTCACGCATGCCTTTCGAGGTCCTGGCTGCTGAGAGGCATTTGACTCATTTGACCCCCTGGCCTGGACAGTAAAAATACCTCCTTGCTCCTGTCCCAGATGTGTTGCCCAGAGCCCATTAGGATGCCCTGCTTCTCTTCCTTGCATTAAAATACCAGTCAGGAAACAATGCTGATGAATTGCTTGCAAATAATTCTATTTAAGTTCCATTTCCCCAGGCAGGGTCAAGGTTGGACATGCTTTCAGGGGAACTCCCCCGAAAGTGGTCCAGGGGTCTGCTGTAATAGGATGGTGACTCGGTCCTCTAGGAAACCCAGTAGTTCTAGGCGGTAGGAAGGGATCGGTCAGCCAGGCAGACCTTGGGTCTTCAGGAGCCCTGTTCAGACAGTCCCGGGAGATACTGTGGGTTCGGTTGCAGACTTCTGCAAGCAAGGGAGGATCCCAAAGCGGTTTGTGTTTTCTCAGTGCGCAGAAAAGTGTGTGGGGAAAAGACCAAGCTTTCTACTCCTATAAAGAGTTACAGCCTTGGAAACCCACAGGGGCAGCTCTCCCCTGTCCTGTAGGGTCGATGGCAGTGAGTTTATTTTGTTCTTAAATGTGTAACAGAATGAGAATGACCATGGTAGGACACAGGCACAAGGTGAGCACAGGGTGTCGGGAAAAGGGCACCTCCATGCAGGGTTGCCAGCGACCAGTTTGTAAAAATAGCAGCACCGCCCCACACTGCAGTATCTGAAGTGTGTGCCTGCCCTGCCCCAGCGGGCGAGTTCCACAGGGCCACTGTAATCCCTCTTAGCGGGACACTGGTAAGTAGGACACAGAGCACAGTGAACGGTCGCTCTTCAGTGGAAACCAAACTAGATAGTGGTTCTTTCTAATGTAAATAGGGTGGGGGAGGGATAGGCGCCCTTCACAGTTTGTGGGAAGATTCCGGTATCTTTTCATTCCATTTCCCGTGAACTTGCAGGTGAAAACAGTGCTTAATCCTAACTTTTTGCAGAAGGTCTCAGCGGAGACCGATGAGATCGTCTTGTGAAAGCTTGCTCCCTCGGAAACCCCAGGGAGCAGTTCTCTATGCTGCTGGGCCACTGTGAGTCACAGTGGACCCCGGGATGGTGGACCTGCTTGTGAAAGGAGCCGGGAAGGATGGTCCAAGGGTGTCTTGAGCATCAGAGGACATTCCAGTGTCACGTTGCCAGAGAAGTCACTGTGTTGTACGTGATTCCAAAGACCCTCGTTGTTTCATTGAAGGCAGCCACCCAGAGACAAAGGCCCCTTGTCAGGGTGGATGCTCAGTGTGTGCTCATTTTCCTCCAGCGACGGTCACGGCGGGTGCATCTTTTCAGTTCTCACTCAGATGTTGACTGCCACCTGTAAACGGAGCCAGAAACCCCAGGGATTTCCTCAGTGCGGTAGAATTGACTTCCAGCGTACGAGGGCGGAGCCCATCCTTAGGGTGATGCCATTGTGGTGAGGGGCTCAGGAGTTGCCAGAGAGGGTGTCATGGGCCCTTCCGCAGGCTGCCTCCCCCCCCACACACACACACCTTCAGTGGGAACCCTAACCACCACCTGGTCTGCATCCTCACCTTCAGGATTCTGGGACACAGAGAACTGGTCAGCCTCTTGATGTTGACGGAAGAGGTCCTCAAGACACTCCAGGGCCACGCTCGTCTCGGCAAACAAGCAAAGTACCTTCTGCAGCTGGCCCGCAATCTGCACTTGGAAACAAACGTCCTGGGTAAAGACAGTCTCCTTGGACGCCATGGGGGACATCTCCTCCCAAGTTACTGAGAAACCCTGATCCAAGAGAATGGACACAGCTGTTTGAGCGACACTTTTCCTACTGGGGGTGAAGGGTGACGGATTTGAAGAGACCTGGGTTATTCCTGCCATAGTTAGTTCCCCAGTGCTGCTGCAGCGGGAACCACCACAGGTGGCTGGCTGGTGGGGGGCTTCGGGGTGCCAACTCTGGAGGAAGGTCCTTATCTCTGGACCCCCTGCTCCTGGGCTACCTTGTATGCCTGAACCTCTCTCCCCTATCTCTGCTGTACGTGCTGGTGTAATTTCTTCACACCCCAGAAGAGATCCACTCCACACAACCTGCCCTAATCCTAGCTCCTTAACAAAGGGTTAAGGGTTATAACAAATGGGTTATATTCACAGGCACCGAGGTTTGGACTGTCTTATTTCGGGGGGAAGGGGCACACTTCAAACCTGAACATTTCCACTGACCTGCCCTTTGTTAGGAAAACCAATAAGGGAGCTGGTTGTGTGTGTATGTTGGGGGGTGAGGGAAAAGATGGAGCAGGCGAGTAACTGTCTACAAATGCGTGAACGGATACATTGCAGCTTCCTGTCAGTATTGAACTACTTTTACTAATGATAAATAAATACATATATATTTGTAAGATGGGTGTGCTCTTGCTTTATTGCGTCCCGGTGCTCCCCCCCCTCTGATCCTGCCCATTCTTCAAAGGGCCTGGGTTTTATTTTTGTTCTGATACCCCTCTGTTGTGGCTGAGGGCTGGTGCATGGGCATGACGCTGCCCTAGAGGAGATGCTGTGAGACCTTGGGCATCGACTCCACTCTATCCTCAGCTCCATCTTGGCGACCCACCCAACGCTCGCAGGCTAAGTTTGTGAAGATGGGGGGCAGGAGGCGGTCTCCGCACCCGCGCCCTTATTAGCGGTCTTGAGCCACAGTCCCTGGCCACACCGGTCTTCCCAGGGCCAGTGGACAGGAGCGCCAGCTTCCTGGGCGCCATCCCTGGAGGGGCGGGGTGGGGGGGCTGTCCTTGGCCGCACCTCTGGAAAGAGGGGCTTGGCTGCGTCTTCTGGGCGGGCAGCAGCCGTTGCCAGGGCGCCCGTTGCTAGGGACTCGTTGTCAAGGACGCCGGGCCCACGCTCCGTTCGCTCCGCTGGGCGGCTGGACCCGGCGAGGCGCCATGGACGACTTGCGGGTGTGGTGGATACGCGACCGCGTGTACAAGGCCTTCGGCCTCAGCGACCCCTATTACTTCGAGGAGCTGCTGTCCCGCGGCGACGGCGAGGCCGAGGACCTCATCCTGCACTTCCTCAACCAGACCAGCGAGGAGGACGCAGCCGCCACGCTCTTCTTCTACCGCACGGTGGTGCCCGAGGAGGTGGAGGTGGAGATGGGTGAGCGCCCTGCCCCGCCCTGGCCGCAGATGCAGCCCGCCCACCCCGACGCCCCCCTGAGCCGCTCATCTCCACCCACCCGTGGGTTGTGGTCATCTGGACCCAAACCCCACGCACCGAATCAGCGGGAGCAGGCAGCTTCCTCTTTCTTCTCAAGTGGCTAGTGGTTTTGAACCTCTGACCCTGCGGTTAGCAGCCCAGAGCTTCTTTCACCTGTACTGGGTACTGGTTATCCTAGAGTGGCACAGAAAGTTTCTGGGAAAAGTTCATTCTCTTTAATTCGATCTCCTCCAACTCTTTGAAACCACCTCGTATCAACACCTGATTCTTATCAGCTGGGTGTACTGTCATGCCCGTTTTACAGAGGAGCCACCTTGGCAGAGAGGGGTTAAGTAATCCCTGGGGGTGGGTAGGCAGTAGGAATTCAAAAGGATATCTGGAGTCACTGTCAAACCACCTGCAGTAGGTGTGCCAAGAAACAGCCAGACCTCATGGGTGATAAACACCCCTCTCTAACTTTTGAAAGGAACCTTGGTGCCAGTCTGCCACCCTCTTTTTGACCGGCCCTCTACTTGACCAAGCCTCATGTCCTTTTCCAGGACTGGTTCCTTCTAATAACATGTCCAAAGTATGTGAGTGGAAGTCTCGCCCTTCTCCCTTCCAAGGAGCAAGCATTCTGTTTGTACTTCTTCCAGGACAGAGTGGTTTGTCCTCCCGGCAGCCCGTGTTATACTCAGTATTGTGCAGTAGCACCATACTCGAAGGGCATCCGTTCTTCCTTATTCAGTGTCCTGTTTCCACATGCATATGAGACACTGTAAGCACGGTGGTGTGGGGCAGGTGCACCTCAATTTTCAAGGTGTTATCTTGGCTTTAAAACAAAAACACTTTAAGAGGCCATTTGTTCTTCCCACAACCCTGCTTATTGGATTATTTGTTTAGCATCCAGATTAAATAAGTGGGAGCATTCTACCCTGATGCATACTTTCCCGAAGGGGACCACACAGCCTCCCCTTGTTTCCGCCCCCCCAACCCTGCTTCTGATCCACGTAGATACAGTTTCCCCATGAGCACAATTAATTTTGGAATTGCCATTCTTCAAATGGTTGTGATCCACACAGTTGAAAGGCTCTGTAGTCAATAAAAGTCAAAACATAAAACCAACATTCAGTGTTTGTTTTACACCCCCCCCCAAAAAAAAACCCCAACAACCCCACAAAGAAACAAAACTCGCTGCCATTGAGTCAGTTACGACTCACGGCAACCCCATAGGACAGAGTAGAACTGCCCCTGTGGGTTTCCCAGACTCTTGCTCCTTGTGGAGTGTCTGGTGCTTCTGAATTGTTGACCTTGCAATTAGCAGCCCCAGCTGCTGATACCCAGACTCCACGAGGGCTCCTCTGTACAGCTGGCTGTTAGAGAGGCAGGGCACACCGCGCAGTGAGAGTGCCCTCCTCCTCCCGGAGCTTCGCTCAGCATGTCAGCAGCCAACCCCCATGGCGTTGAACTGTGCCTGTGGGCTCTGTTAGTGCTGGCTTAGATTTGATGAGTTACTGGGTGTCAGTTGTAGATTGGATCTCAACACATACGACAAGTCAACGCTGACTCATAGGGACACTATAGGACAGGGTAGAACTGCCTCTTTGCGTTTCCAAGACTTTCAATCTTTACAGTAATAGAAAGCCTCACTTTTCTCCTGTGGAGTGGCTGGTGGGTGTGAACCACTGACCTCGTGGTTAGTAGCTCAATGCAGAACCCACCAGGCCACCAGAACTCCTCCTTTTGGGTCTGGGAACACACAAGAAAAGTCCCATATAGGTCCATGGGGACTGTTGCCGCATTTCATGCTGTTTCGGCTTACGAAAGGCTGCAGGAGCGGTCTACTTTTGGAAAGCAGGGGGAACTTGTAGACCTTGCCTCACCACTCTCCAGGAAGGCTCCTCCAGTAGTCCCCCCTGCCCACCCCCGGTCAGTGGGGCCCTGAGGGGCCATTTCCCAGCCTCTCTGTAGTATTGGTGCTGCCCTCCAGCTGGCCTTTGTTCTTCACAGGTTTGTAATTTGTAGTGAGGTTTATAACTTGTTGGCCATTTCCATCGATTCCCCGGGTGACTTGAGACCATTCCCGTGTCTTCCGTCTCTTGGCACCGTTGGTAGAGGAAGATTTAACAACCACCATCTGCAGCAGCTGCCATCTTTCAAAACCCAAACCTGCCCCACCAATGACGGTCCTGTGCGCCATGTCCCAACCCATTGGCGCTAAGTGAAAGGATGCTGTTGGGCATCCCAGGCAGTGACACCTCCTGTTTTATGTTTTCTTTCCATGTATGCTGCCACACAGACAAAGACTTCTCTGTCCCATCAGAAGAGGGAGAGGAGGATGAAGAAAGAGAGTCCGTGGAAAGAGCATCAGGTGTGGTATTGGAGGCGGGGCTCTAGGGGGTGAATAGAACTAAGAAACAGTCCCCACCCCCAACGTAAGGGGTTCACATGCTCAGCCTGGACCTTGTTTCTACCTTTCCCCTTGATGGAGCCGAGACCTGGTATGAAGTCCCAAGGGACGAGCCATATTTAAAATGTACCAAACCTGAAAGCACCCTTCCTACCTGTGGTTCCAGACAGATGAATGCCGAGCAGACAGGTGATATTTTGTAGAGCAGGCCCTCTGTCCTGTCACTTACAGGTGCGGTTGATTTTGGAGAACCTCCAGGGCACAATACTTTGAACAAAGCTTGTTAACAGCAAGCACAGCCATCTTGTAAGGGGAATAATTTTCATCCCTCACCTCTCCCTAGTTACTTCCAAACCGACTCTCTCACACCGGTGAAGCCTGTGCCCATGACGCAGTCCCTCCCGCTGTCCAGTGCAGTGAGGAGAGGCTCCCGGGCAGCACACGCAGTATGCTCCTCATGACTCATCTAAAGGCTGGCAGTTCCATCCCCCCAGCAGTGCCTTGGAAGTAAAGATCACTCCTTAGAAAGCCCCACGGAGCAGTTCTGCTCCGGAACCGACGGGATCTTCCTGAGTTGGCATCCACTCGATGGCTACGGGATTATTTTGTTTGGTAGTTGAGTGAAACCCCCCCACACGGTGGCTTTTAAATTTCCGACTGAGAGCCCATTAGAAATGCCATGCTGTCCTCAGTGACACTGTCAGGCAAGCCTACCGAGGCCCGTTTGTAACTATGCGCTGTGCCCGTGGGCTGGAAGACGCCGCTGTGCAGAATGTGGGTCTGGTCCGGATGGCAGGATGGTGACTTTTCTGGCTCTTTCATCTCAGGCCCCGAATCCTCTGTTTTGCAGTAAAGAATGTGCAGCTAAGAAAAGAGTCCGTTCCTCAATCTTTCGTCACATCCGAGGAGGGAGACACAGACAGAGACATTATGGAAAAGCTGCCCATCAAAGTAGGCCTGGGTCTCTCTCCTCTTGGGTGGGGAAATGGGAACTGAGGGCCCTGTGAGGAGCCATATCGGACAGCTTCGGGGTGAAGGGTCCCCAGGATAACTCTAGGGTTCATTGCTTGACCAGGAGGGCTCACCGGACACAGAAACACTGCTCTCCTCCCAGTCCGGTTTTCTTACAGCAAAGGGGTGCTTGTTAGACTCGGCAAAGGCCAGGGGTCGAGGAACCAGATCTCAGGGTCCAGTTCTCGTGTGCTTGTCCAGCTGTCCTCTCCCAGGGGGTCACTTGTCAAGCCAGGCTGTAAGCGTCCACCTGCCTCTGTCTTAGAGCGAGGGCCCCCCCATTGCTCCCTGAAGATGCTCCCCCGCTACACACAGCCCCGTTTGCCGCACTTGATGGCCTGTGCAAAGCCCCGTCCAGTCTTGTGGACCCTGGTCATCCACGTCAGGCGCATTTTGGCAC